AGGCATGTACAACTATTTAAATAGTTTAAACAAATGAGAGGACAAGGCCAACATTTAAACAGAGCTCTCTTGGTGATTACTGTAGTATTTGGCTTTAAAAATTTATTTATTCACTTTAGAGAGAGAGGGAGGAGGAGATGGAGGAAGGCAGGGAGGGAGGGAGGGAGGGAGGGAGGGAGGAAGGCAGACAGGCAGACAGACAAACATCAATTGGTTGACTCCTGGTACAGGCCCTGTCAGGGGATCAAAACTGTAACCTAGGTATGGACCCTGCCTGGGGATTGAATCAGTGAACTTTGAGTATACAGGACCACGCTCCAGCCAACTGAGAGCCACACTGGCCAGGGCTGGCTTTCTAACTTGACTGAAGAAAGTTATTCTGGGGATCTGACAAATCCATACCTACAGTCCCCTGATCAGATGCTTTGGGGTCAAATGTATGGTTTTATTGATATTTGCTTAATTAAAGAATTAAGATTTTTGATAAGCAACTAATGGCAATTATAAGGTAACACATGGTAACATTATGCTGTATAATGACACTTACTGCATTTAAATGTAAATAATTTCAAGCCCAGTACTGAGTAGTTTTTGACAATTAAAGGCAATAACTTCACATTCAACTCCCCTCTGCTAAATAAATTGCCATATAGTTGATTCCTTGTCTAGTTAAGTGAATACAGAAACCAAATTAGAGGGAGTTCAGCAGATTTTTAAGGATTTAATTATGTCATTAAATTGTAATACCAATAATATATATGGTTAGACTTCTGAGTAATTAGCTGAATTAACTTCATTTTACAATGCTTAATTTATTTTGTACTAAGGAAGGCTTTAAACCATTTACCGGGAATCAGCTTAATTTCGATTTTTTACTTGCTCCAACATGTTTCAATTCATTCGTGTTTCAATAACAAGGAATAAACTCTCGCCTTAACAGACCAAGCATGGACATTTCCTCATAGGAGACAAGGAGAAATCAGAATGACTTCCGTATTCAAGTCAGAGCTCGCTGAATTGAGAATTTCTGGCTGTTAGGAAAGCCGTTTGTTACCTCAAAAGGAGGGCCACTCACTGGAATTTTGTGGAAATATCACAGTGGGGCCTGCCAAGAGGAACTCGAGGATGCTAAGTGCAGGGACACTGGTCCCAGGCCATCCTCCTGGCACAGCGCTTTCCTTTCCTTCCCTGCTCCGCCCCGGCGAGCTCTTTCTGAGATCAAAGGCCACCCATATGCACAATTTACGCGAAGTCCAAACGTGACACCAGAAACAAACAACTGTGATCTCACTGTTGTCCCCAAAATATGTCTTGAGATATCTCATTCAGAGACTAACTATACTCTCCAGAAATCAAAATAGAGGGTTTTTGTGACTCTTGCTTTTTATAGAATGAGAAATATTTTCCTACTTTTTCCATATTAAACAAGTGAACAAAAAAAGCTGCAGCACTCACTCCTCTCTCACCAAGTATTTGTTCCTTTGCATTTAACAATTTATGTGCATAACTGGATGACAGTTAACCTCCCGTGGCAAACTAAAGAAAATGTGTAAGAAAAATCACACTGACTGTTCTCAGACATTTCTTGTTAAAAGACATAAAACAAATAAACAAACAAAAATAACATAGCAAAACCCAACACCCATCTATTAAAAAGTCATTTGAAAGCACACAGAGGTGACTTAGAAGCCACAGCACTGAGAAAGTTAAGGAGTTCAAAGTTGTAACATTCATTAAAGTGGATCCACATTTCTTCTAAGCATCATCAGAGTTACTGGGGCTTGACTATACATTTAATTTGGGTTATTAAGTGGTTGAAGAACTTGTTCCTTTTTGACTAAGTATAGTGACAGGGTTTCAGATTTTTCAGTTTCTGAATTACTAAGATTATTAAAAATATCAAAACACACACCACTCCCAGCAGTAGAGAACTCTTCACCCAATAAGCCACAAAAAAAAAAAAAAAAAAAACACCCAAAAAAACCCCTGGCAGCCATTTTCCCTTTTGTACTTCCAAATATCCAAAGAATCACATAATGACTCAAGTAACAAGAGATCCAGGGGTGTTTCAGACATGTGGAAGGAAAATGCTTAAAGGCAAAATTCCTCAAACACATGCCATGGTGCGGAAGCGGAGAGCTGTTCCGTCCACTAATCCTGTTAAAATCCTGTGCGCAGGATGGCTGTGAGAAAGACCGTGCCAATCTGCAACCAATGGTACTATTTTCCCTCTTACATCACAGTAATTGTCATTTCCACAAATACATCAAACTCTAAAGCCAAGGCTTTTCTTGAAAGAAAATCATTAAAAGTTAGAAATTGGCTTTAACCATCATGCCCAGGTTAACTAATGAAATAAAAACTTCTTAAAAAAACCTTTCCCTGTTGCCTCCAGTTCAAACCTCACCTTCTAGTTCTGCAGCAGGCAGCATCTATTGCCCTGGAATGTCTGTCTTTATTCTAGACTCTTCCAGGAAACTTATTGTTTTTTGGCTTATCATTGTGGTATTTGTGTTTAAACTGTTCCAATAACTGTTTCTGTTGAAGAAGACACAATGACACACAGTGGTCCTGTCTTCAGTGAAGAGCACACCTAGAACACTGTCCCCCTCTTAGAGAGGGGCCCAGGTGGGCCGTAGAAATCCATGTTCTACCACTTCCTCAGGAGGTTTCCATTCTGTGCAGTCAACCTCTACTGGATGAGCAGAATTATGTTGGGTTCCCTCTTCTCCTATAGAATCTGTTCACTGGAATCAGTTGAAGGGAGGGAAAATGTTAGGCTGGACAAAGAAACAATGCTAGTGGGTAAAGCCATGTTCCCAGTGGGGGTGATGAGGCTGGGACTGCAGGAAGGAGATGGGCTTCCAGGAAGAGTTTGGAACATCAAAGGAATAGCATGTACATTCATGGACAGGCATGGTGACCAAGACTGACTTTCATGACCTAAAATGCTGCCCTGAAATATGGTTGCATCTTAATGAGTCTTATACTACAATATAAGTGGGGGAAGAAGACATGGGGAAGGACAGAGTGAGCTGGGAGAAGCCACTAATTAGTTTTAAGCATCAGTTTACACTGTTTCCATGTTCTTATATTTCGTTGGGCTTTTTCTGGGTTATTTTTCTGCTAACTTCAACACTTTCAGGAATACACTTGATTTTCCTTGTTATAAGGGAGGTGCTACTTCAAAGGACCACCCAATTTGGGGGAAAAAAAAAAGAGAGAGAGAGAGATAACTGATGGGTGGCCTTTGAAGATGATTTCTTCCTATTTTAGAATGAAACTGAGTTAAGGAAATCTTTAGAGGGTGTCCATCCAAAATAAGTCATTGCTATGATTCACTACATGACATTTCAGCAAGCCTACTAGAGATAAGGCCACTGGGTGATACTGCAAATCTAAGACTCCTGCTTTAAATTTAATCTGCCCATGAAGCCTTTCAAATGGAAAACTGGAGACTCTGGTCACCAAGTTCCCCTTGGATTCCAGCCATCCTGAACCTAACCAAAATCTCAGAGGTAGGGACAAGGATAGGCCTGAGCTATAAGCAAGAACAAGCCTCTGCCATGCTCTCTAGTCGTGGGTCAAATTTCTGGTATATGTGAAAGGTATTGTGATTCTTAGGGTAAGTAACAGCTCTCTGGGTGTTTTGTCTACCATACTAAAGAACCTCGGAACAGAGTGACTCATACACTGAATTCATGTGCTTTACAAGTTTGAGGGAACACGAGGGTGTGTGCCCACATGTGGCCCCAGCTGATAAGCCATGCTGGAGGAAATAAACACTAGAGAGTGTCTAATTAGTATGGTTGGTCTCGAACTTGAGTATGTTTTAGAATCACTCAGTTCTCATTCAGTAGGTCTGGGGTGGGGCCCAAACTCTACATTTCTAATACATTTACAGACAATGATGCTGGTGCAGGAGAATAAATTTACCCCTGCAACTGAACTGCAGCACTGTGGCACTGTCTTTACATGGCCATTGAATGGTCTGCACAGATATGTACCCAGGAGACATGTGGTTGGTTCCTTCATGCAGTTCTTCATGAATGGTGTCACTCCTGACAAAGTGAATGGATGTTTATCATTAAAATAATTTTCTGAAGGCAGTTATAAAGCACGTTGAGAAAGTCGCAATGTTGTTAGAACAAACATACAAGGTCTGTCTGGAAAAAGTCCAGCCATTGCTAATATAACAAGAATTGTTTGTGCAACATCAATGTAACCAAGCAGCCAAGGAGAATGGACTGGAGTGCACATGCATGAACAATGACGCCTTCACTGTATTAGTCAGTGGGGGCAGTAGATGTCATTGAGTGAGCATGTGTACTGCGGCCGTCACATTCAAAATGACTGAGAGAGTAGAGCAATGAATCTGCATCAAATCTCGTGTTAACCTTGAACATTTCTCTGTGGAAACTACTCAGGTGATTCAGAGGGCCACAGCAATGGGCAGCTGGTGATTGGCAGATTCATTGCAACAACACATCCGCTCATGCATCATGTCTTCTGCAGTTTTTTTGCAAAACATCCAATCACCCAGGTGACTCAGCCCCCTACAGCCCAGATTTGGTGTCCTGTGATTTCTGGTTTTTCCCAAAACTAAAATCACCTTTGAAAGGAAAGAGATTTCAGACAGTGGCTAAGATTCAGGAAAATACGACAGGGCAGCTGATGGCGACTGTGTGAGGTCGACTGTGTAAGAGAACTGTGTGAGGTCCCAAGATGCCTATTTTGAAGGGGACTGATGGGCCACTGTCCTATGTACAATGTTTTTTGTATCTTGTATCTTCTTCTATAAATCTCTCTATATTTCATATTACATAAAGGGATACTTTCTGGACAGACCTTGTATAGGCTCCTGAAGGCGACTTTTTTGAAAGCTAACCCTAACACAGAGACATATTTTTCTATTAAAAAAATCATTCTAATTCCTTTGAAATCACAATATCTACACACACGTCTCATTTTTCATAGGTTTGGCCACCATATCTCGCAACCTCAACTCTGCAATCCTCTTTATTAGTAAGTTAGTGGCCTCTTTCGTATTTCTTCCTTTTCTTGGTTGGACTGCCATGAATTGTAGCTAATCTTGCAGTGTTTGTGGCTGAGCCGGTTTGCTTTGCCTGCCCTGGCTTATTTTTCATAAGATGTCTGGAGGAGAGATTTTCCAAAACATGCAACTCTTCATTAGACATGGTTTTCGCCAAATCTTGTTTCAAAAGTAACCCCGGATCTGACAGCTCTGAAGTTGGTAAAATTCTGACAGCTTTGCTTTTTTCCACTATTATTTCTCTCAGGACTAATCGATCACTTCCAAAAGAAACTCTCTTGTGGTGGTCGAAGTCTTCCACAGAGCCACAGTTCCTGCGTTTCTGTTGTGCTCTGGCCCCTCGTGGACTTTGTTTTGGACGTGGTGGTGCTGACTCACAGCTCCAGACAGGGCTCCCGCTTAGAAGCCCTGTCTCTAACCACTCCCCAGGATGAGGTTTTCGCTGGCTGCTAGCGTCTTCTGGCTGAGCCTGATGAACATTTTCCAGCTTTTGAACAGGAAGCCCCCAGTGGCTCTCAGCTGCCTTTATGTAATCCTTTGCTTGTCCCGTGGACTCCGGTGGGGCACTGGATGAAGCCTGACTGCCTCCTCTTCTCACTGCCATCTCTGCAATCACTGAGTCACTATTTGTTCCCACAGTGTCCCTGCTGCTCTGTGATTTGTTCACGATGCTGCTTTTTGTTTCAGCTCTTTTCACACTAAAAAAAGAAATTTTTTTTGTTTTGTTTTGTAATGTTGTAATGTTATGGCTTCCTCCAAATTCCCCTTACCACATCTCCTATACCTGAAAAAAGAAAGCATGCACTACACTCCCTTTTCCCTATCTCCCTGGCAGATCTAGAAAAATCCCCAAGTGTACATTGAAATGCAGACTGCTTCAAGAAACAGGGCTCTCATTTTCCAACACACTGGGATACACTGGACAACACTTTATTTACTGATCACTAGTTTATTAATGGAGTTCATATTTTAACAAAGACAGACAAGTATTCATTTCATATTGTAAGGGTCAACTTGATATACTGATTTTTTCCCCCAGAAGTAAATGCTCAAATACATCCAAAGCAGAAGCTATATTTATGTGTCTCTGTGTGTATGTGTACAAAAACATGTTTATGTATACACAGAGATATACACAATCTCTATTTGTAAGTAAAGACTAATCTTCTGGAATTTCTCTCAGGCCATTTCAAGGTATTACTCAAATATAATCACCATTTAGTTGGTGTGAGGCTTGTTCATTAACTATTGAAAAGAGGATTCAGTTACTATAACTTGAAATATTCTGGGAAAATTTCCAGAGAGTACCCAAGAAAGTAGAAACATGGCAGACACAAGAGAGTGTGTATATATACAAAACCCTTTTCTACAGCATATACAGCAGATGATGCAAACTTCCCTCTAGTAGAAAATTACTCTGAGGGGCAGGATAAGTGCATTGGGGGAAGACTTAGAAACTAGAGATTCTGACTTGGGTGTATATTTGCAGGCTTGCGAATGGCAAGAAATTTCTTAAACCACCAAACTCAAAACAATGAAACTGAAATATTTATTTTGGATAAGCTTTAGTCTGGACAGAAATATATAGATTCATGTTCTTACTGTTGCTATCAGGGACATGAGGATTATCATAATTATGTTAGGGTTGGAAACAAGCATCTTAGAAACGTATTTTTTGAGATCTGCCTGTAGTCACTCTGCAAGTTGTATGAAACACAAAACCAACAGGTGCTTTTCATCTTCATGGCTTGTAATTAAGTGCTCCTTGCAACACACCTGTGAAGCAAGGGCTTGATTCCTGTTGTCCAGAAAGCAAGAGAAAGAGAGGGAGGTGGAAGTCTGTGTCTTTAAAGTAGGCTCAGAGCCAGGGGGGCCGTGATTAAGTTCCATGTACTCTTGTTGAATTCTAGATTTCTTGTTATGTATCTATATGTATAGGCAGTCAAAAATGAGAAAAAGGAAACACATTGGACCTACGTTTCTTTCAGGGCATTTCTCTTGAGCTTTGCACTGGGAGGAAGTGGGCTCTCTGCACACTCAGCAAAATAATCAGAGGCTCCATGGAGAGCTCTTTCCGTCTACTCCAAAAGATAACAAAGGTTCAAATAGAAAAGTCTATTAGCTGAACATGAGAGAAAGCAGTGACACTCTAAATGTCCCAGTGAACAGATTTATTTTTGTGAGGACAAGATGAAATTGCTTAGTGTTAGGCTATCTTGATATTTTAAAATCTAGAACTTTTTGGTAAATTGTCACTTCCCAACCCACACACTTCATACATTAATATGCATCACAAACATATACAAGACTGTAATGGAAGGGATGGTGATTCCAAACCACCTGGGTAACTCTTGGCCAATACATGGTCTCTCTGAGGCCCAGGCTGTGCTGAAGCCCAGAATGTCGGTGCCAGGCAGCAGCATGTTTGTCAGCTTTGATCTTTCAGAGGTCTGATGGTACAGTGGTCTGTACCCTGATTATCCTAAGAATGCTCCACATTTCCCCTTGCTACAAAAATACAAAATATTACCTTTGCAATACTCAAGAATACTTCACGAGTTAAGCCTTCTAATACTGGTACTTTAAAAACTGGAGTTTGAGAATCTTGGCTACTAAAAACCGGGCAGTGTTTTGTTTTGTTTTTTTCTTAAATGAACAGCATTACCATGGTTTTATACAATTCATAGATTACTTGTCTACCTATCCTGATATGTTCTTGTGAAGACATCATTAAGAAGAAATTATAAAATGTACAAATCTCCCAACCTTCACCAATGTTGACCCATTTCATACTTTGGAATTGCTTCCTTTTTGTTAGCAAACAGATAATCCAGACAAAGCGTTAACCTCTCTCATTTTCTAGGACACCAAGTACATTTCCCCGTCAAATTCCACAGTAAAATGCTGCTGCCACAGGACCAGTTGCTTTAGACTTACACTGGAATGAATGACAGCCCTAGGGGTCTGGGAGAGCCATCAATACTCCTGGGGGTCCCGCATTCCATCACTGCCCTGCCTATGGTTTCAGACCCCGACCGGCGTTACCCGAAATCATATCTAGTTACAATCTACATCAGTTTTTAGAGTTAGTGAATGAAATATTACAGGTTTTATTGGGTGATACTGCATTTTGATGCTTCTCCCTTTTCCCCCCTCTAAGACTTACCAGTTAACCAAAAAGAGTTACAGTTGAAAAGTTAAATGAGAACGACTGAGAGAGATTGAGATTTATGTGTGAAACACTTCTAAACATGCCCTATAAGTACAGTAGATTTCCCCCTCACAACCACACCCTGTAAGTGCTGTATTTTCAGAGCTGAACAATTAACATAAGGAGCATGAGTCAGGCTTTGAACAACTCTGTGGGAACCAGAAAGCCTTTTGCTATTAGGAATGATGTAAATTCCCCAAGGCTGGAAGAAGTCCACAATGGAAGGCAGACAGAGTCATAAATAACAATGGATACTGTGGAGACCACAGAAAGTAGGATGCCGTGATAGTGACACTTCTAATCTCATATTGGATTTAATCATGATCCTTATTTATTTACTTTTAAACTCAAAGAGCACTATGTGTTTCCTATGGGAACTTAAAAAACTTCTTTAAGAGACAGACCAATCCACTCTCATCCCAAATTCCTTTGACAACAAACAATGGGGGAAAAGGTCCTTGGAGGAAAAAGGATGACAGAAAATGTGATGGAGTGACAGAAAGAAATGTCCAGTTCAAAAAGTGCAAAACCTGTGACTTCATTTTCAAAAAAAAAAAAAAGAAAGAAAGAAAGAAAGAAAGAAAGAAAAAGCAAAGAGAAAGAAACAAGGCAACGCGGGGTCTCCTGCTCACAAATTAAAACCACATTTGGCAATTTGTTGAAGGAGGCATATTTACATTTGTATGGAAACTGGGTGGGCAGGGGAAAAAAAAAGATTAGACTCTTTCTTCAGCCCTTGAACTGTCAGATCTCATTAGAAATCTCTCATTCCTACATTTCTAGGGTCAATTCAGTACCCTTTGTCACTAAATCACAGCCTCTGGTAACCCCACACAAGTTCTCCAGAGGAAGCAGCTGCCACCTGGGAACAGGATTTCCCAGGGGAGTCGTTCTGATTACAAATGGCTTCTCACATATGGCATCAAAATGCAATCCATGGCTTATCCAAAGGCAACACTCTCAGGTGCAGACAGACAGTGTGTGTTGGGTTTTCAGGGCCTCTCAGGCATACCTGGATGACACTACTCCTTTTTAGATTCTGCCCTGATATCTTCTGCAAAGAATACAGAAAAACTCAACATAATTAAAAAGGCTACCAGTTGGCCATCCAATGTCCAGAGCGAGTAGCCCATGGGTATTTAAGAAATAGGTTACCTAACATGACCTATTTGGGCCTGTATAAATGATTCTTCACAACCTGGAAGCTACCTCTGAGTATGCCAAGGGATAAAATTCTGCAAATATCATTTCCTGGTCACCTTCTCCGCCTCCCCAATTTATTCATTTTTATTTTTGGTAATACTCTGAGGATTTTAGTTTTAAAACTTTCCACTTGTAGAAAATGTCTAGATATAGACATAGAGGACTCTAACCTGGGGGATACCCTCCTTGGCAGTTTGAGCAAACCATGCAGGCTGTCAGACAAGGGCTCAGGCCTTATTCCCACCCCCCGGGATGATGTGGAGACCACGGAGGTGTCCTAAGGTCGAGGACAGTAAAGGACATGTGCTCCAGTACAGATTCAATGGGGGAGGTCGAGTAGGCTGGAGTCTGAGTATGATGATGGCTAACATGACCCCAATGCTATTTGGTCTGATGTGGGAAACACTTTTACAATTTTTGGACAGAAGGGACTACAAAGAGAGCCCTCACCAGAATTAGCTGGGCAACTAAGACTCACTTCCTGCCTCTAGTCAGACAATGAGCTAGACTGAAATGTAGGTATAAATACTGATTAATGTTCAAGTTACAAAGGCAAGTTGAAATTGTGGATAAATCCAGGCATTGAGTCTGCAGTGACTTACTGAATATGGTTTTTTAACAGGACACTGTTGGATTAATGTGGGATAGGGAGAGAAGCTGCACTAGAAAGACATAAAAAGCACCTGCTGTCGAGTGTCTTACTTCTTTAAGGAGTCTAAAACATAGCTTGGATTCCCAAAGGCTAGTGAGAAGACTGTCTATCAGAGACTCAGTATTAGAGGCACTGAGGGAAGTTTTCAAAAGTATAGATTCCCAGGTCCTATCCCTGGAAGTTCTGATTAAAAAAATCTGGGGTGGGGCTAGGAGATCTATATGTAGGTTCCCAGGTAACTCAATAACTGCTGGTACACATGAAAACAATACTCAACAGAGCAGAGAAACATAAACAAAGATAAGCCAGGACACACACTGAGGCAGCATTTGCAAAGTGTGGTGGTTATCTCAGGCATCAAAATCAAGTGGGGGGCTTGTTAAAAAATGTTCTGGATTCTCCCCCCAGAATGTACTGTGTTTGCTTCTCTGGGGGTGCGGTCATCAGGGCATGTGCATTTTAGGCAAGCGCCCCAGTGATTCTGATACCCAGCAGAGTTAATAAACTTCTGTCCTAAAGGAGCAAGGAAGTGGTAACTGAGCAGGGTCCAGCAGAATCACTGAATTCTGTACCAGGAATGTTTTTTTTTTTTTTTTTAAATGTTATTTATTTAGGTTTAGAGAGAGAGGAAGGGAGGGAGAAAGAGAGGGGAAAAAAAACACCTATGTGAGAAACATCGATCGACTGCCTCTTGTATGCACCCTGACCTGGGACTGAACATGAAACCCAGGCATGTTGCCCTGATCAGAAATTAAATGGGCGACCTTTTGCTTGCAGGATGACCCCCAAGCAACTTAGCCACACAGGTCAGGGCTGTACTAGGCATTGTTTGAGGACCTTGTGGAAAAAGACATGGACCCACAGAAATTGTCTTTGCTCTCATAAAGACTCCATCCCAATGGGGAGGACAAGAAACAAACAAGCCTAAGTTAGGTAATGTTATTAAGAAATATAAATGTCTAAACGATAGAAGGGGTGCTGTTTTAAACATGACAGGGAAGCCTCTGGTAAACAAGGTGAGCTTTGCCCAGAGACCTGAGTGGAGAACAAACCAAGTAAAAATACATGTAAGAGCATTTCAGGCAGCGAGAAGCATGAGCACTGAGGCTCTGAGAACAGACACTGCCTGCAAATGGGGAGGAACAGGAAGGCAAATCAGAGAAAGGGGTCAGTGGGCAGGTAAGAAGGATGTGAGTGTGTGTGTACATACCCGTGTGCGCATTGGTGGTTGTGGAGGCAACAAATTGTGTATAGTTTTTTTTTAAGGAACGCATATTTGATTGTGAAGAAGTTTATTATTCTTTGGAAGTTTCCAAGAAGAAATGGGATTTGACATTTTAAGTGGATCATCTTGGCTAAGAAAACAATCCCACAACTGCTTCAAAAAAAAAAACAACAAAAGACGACAACAAAAAAAATGAAAAACACAACAAGGAATAAATCTAACCAAGGATGTAAAAGACCTATGCTCAGAAAATTAGAAGAAACTGAAGAAAAAAGTTGAATGAAACACAAATAAGTGAAAGCATATACCGTGTTCATGGATAGGAAGAATTAACTTCATTAAAATGTCCATGCAACCTCAAGCAATCTATAGATTGTGCACAATTCCTATCAAGATACCAATGGTGCATTTCACAAAACTAGGCCAAATAGTCTAAACATGTATATGGGACCACAAAAGACCCTGAATAGCCTCAGTAACCTTGAGAAAAAAAAGACAAAGTTGGAGGAATCACACTACTTGATATGAAACAATACTACGAGGCCATAGTAATCAAAACAGCATGGTACTGGCATAAAAGACATATAGATCAATGGAACAGAATAGAGGACCCAGAAATAAACCCATAGCTTTAGAGTTTGTTAATATTTGACAAAGGAGGCAGAAACATACCATGGGGTAAATATAGCCCATTGAATAAATGTTGTTGGGAAAACTGGCCAGATATGTGCAAAAAAATGAAACTAGACCACTTTCTTTTTTAAAAAATTGTTTTAAACTTTATTTA